TTTAAAAAACCATAGAAAAACCTCCAATCGAACACCTACCCAAGAAAGTTCTCGGGGCTACGAGGCCTACCCAAGGGTAACCTTAGGTCTATAAGGAATTATCAGTCGGTGTTGAACCTATAAAAGGAAATACCAGCATCGACTGAACCTGCCAGAGATAGGAATTACTAGTCGATGATGAACCTATACAAGGAATTACCAACAGCGACTGAACCTTCCAGAGTCTTTATACCAAATCCCAGAGTAACCCAAATAAAACATTTTCAGTTAGTAAATAGAGATATCATAAATTAGAGCAAAGATCATAATAGAAATCAAAGAAAACCATCCATGTAATCAGGTTACACACTAGAGGCTCCAGATATTATTCGGAGATACTAGATAATCTTATCGGTCAGAAAAACACGGATCTTTAGTATACTGATAGAATGCTGGAAATTTAAATCACTATTGAAATAGTTCATTAGCAAACGAGATCATCAGTTATTCATAATGTGATTTATCAGACTCATATAGTATTTGGACATTTTTCGGAGGCTCTATATAATCAGAAAGGTATTCAGAATCCTTTGCATCTGAGTTACTTATGTTTTCAGTTATGACTAGCGTGATTCCATTATTCATGAAAATCAGAATCATTTTGGGTATTAGATTCTTGGAGGATTCAAGTGATTTGAGTTTATAAGGGAGAAACAGAGATTCAGGGCACTTACGATTTGTGTTGATCTATCGGAATATCGAGTTAACTCAAGTTTAACAACTCCCAAAACTAATGCATGACAGCCGATCCATTCGTTGTCCTTCCAGGGTATTCACTCTTTAATACCAACAATTCTTGTCTATTGATCACTTTCAGAATTATAGTTGAATATCTCTTTAGGAGACGAACAGATATCCCAATGGTCTTTATTTCATTTCCATGTTTCAACGATATCAGGAAATACCGACGTACTTGCTTTATGGTTCATAACCCATAGAGATGGTACATCATGTAAGTTCATCAGAGTTTCTAGACTTATCCAAATCACTTACTTAATCCTCATTCATTGAGGTTACTTAGTTCATTTACTAGTCAATTATATCCCGGTTATTTCAAAGTTTTCCAGAGTAATTCAAACGTTTCTGAAATTCGGATACATATGGTACTTCCATTCAATTCAATTTGGTCATAAAAATAAAGTCATATTGGTATTCGAGGTTGATTTATTCATTTCAAAGTTGAGGGTATTAGTTATTCTAGAGTTTAGAGGTACTTTAGGTCATTTTACATTTTAGGGGCATTTTGATCATTTTACACTTCAGGGGTATTTCTATAATTCCAATACAGATCCAGAATTTAATTCGATGATTCCAAGGTTCCAGTGAATCAAGGTACGAGTTCTCTGGTCATCTCCATTATCATAGTCGTCCATATTTCGTTTTACTCTTTAAAGGGTATTATCGTAATTTTATTCAATTCCGTCAGTGACATTACTTCGGGTAAATTAGGCTTAAAAGTATTCAGTTCCATTAAAGTTCAGAGTAATTTTCTCATTTGCCCACTGGAGGTTAATTTCACCACTAGGGGAAGTCTTGGTCCTTTTTCAGTACAAGGGCATTTTTGTAATTTTACCACATAGTGTTATTATTGGTAATTTCTTATCCAAATATTTCCATCATTTAATATTTAACGAGATTAATCAAAATTTTGCGTTCTGAGATTGATTGATTTACTAAATTATTCATTGAACTGAGATTTGTTTCCGATCAGTCTACAAATTTCTTTTTCTAGCTGTTAGAGTCTTATACAATGTTCTGTCTTTAATCTACTTTTTGTCTGAGTCCAAAGATAGTTAACTACCCTAACGGACCAATTATTTCCATTCATGCATTAACCATTTATCAGCGAGTCCCAAAAAGTATACAAACGGTAGTAAAGTATTACCTCGATTTTTGTGCCATATCAAAGAACCCTTTAAACTCCATTCGATCACTCTCGAACTTGAATTCCACATCTAATAATTCCTCGGATACAAAGCAACTGAATTTACATCAGAAACTAAACTTAATTTAGAAACCATATTGAATCCGAATATAAAACCTTGAAAACGGCTTACCGAGTGTGAATTTGGCAAAACGGACTTCGAAATCGAACTTAGGACGCCAAAAAATGTAAAATAGGGCTTTTTGGAAAATTTGAATTTTTTTATCAAAGTCAACGGTTAGACCGGTAAAATTCAATGGTCTGATCGGTCAACGATCAACTCTGACCAAAGTCATTGGGTCGGGTCAGGTCAACAGTTCGGGTCGGGCAGGCGGGTTGACTCGGTTCGGTTCAAACTGAGTTGATTGGTTCGGGCCGGTCCAGACCGATTGGACCGTTTCTAGAGACTTCCTTGGAGCGTGGACAAACCCCATGCGCACCTGACGGAGTGTGAGGGCGCGTGAGCCGACAAGAAGATGGTTGGTCGGTGGCCGATTACTCCCTAGCTCAACAAACATCGATTGCAACCATCTATTTCACTTAAAATCGAAATCAACCCAACCAAATAACCGGAAATAGTATCGAACTTACCCAAGGACGATCGGCGGAAGAAATGACGATGATACGGAGACCCACTTGCTGGGTTTGGATTGCAGGGGGCGGTGAACCCAATGGTGCAGATGGTGACGCGAGATAACGTCGGTGGCAGCCGGAAACATCAAAAATAAGTGGAGATCAGAGGGTATTTCGATGGACTTTCCCGGCGTGATTTACAGCGAACAGAGCCGATTCAGAACGGGCTAGGGACTGTTTGACAGTGAGTTTATAGGTGGCGTCAGAGCGGTGAATGGTGGTCGGACGGTGACGAAATGTAGTGGCAAAGGAGGGTCGATGGGGAGATGGATTTGGGGTTAATTTTGGGGGGAAATAAGACTGATCTGGGAAGAGGGTTTAAATTTTTCACTTAAAAATAAATGGGCTAATTATGGATTTAGTCCCCAAATTCCTAAACTTTCTAAAACTGACTACTAGTTTCATAAACTTATAATTTAACTCCTAAATTGTTACAAACATCAATAGTGAAAAAGCAAATCAATCAAGAAAACCCAATAAAATAATAATAAGGAAATCCCAAAGAAATTCTGGGGAAATCATGTCCCTACCAATAGATCTCATCATTATCTACCCAAAAGGCAGCCATAAATCAAAATGCAAAAACATTTTCGGGGAGAGAGGGGAACACAGAAGAAAAGAGTGAGAGAAAAAGAACGAAAGACAGAGAGCCAGAGAAAAAAACCAAGAACATTCAAAAAAAAAAGAAAAAAAAGAGAAGCTTTGAAAAAACAGAAACCATTCGAAAAGTAAGAACAACCAAGGAAAGATATTTCCCTTTTCTCGACTGAAATCTTGGTCGATTATTGGCTTGGTTTTCGGCTATATAAGTCACACATGGAACGACGTCGTTTAGGAGGGGCTGGGTGAGCATTTTTAGTGCTTGGTGTATCCGCATGAAGGGTTCTTCATATTTTGTAATATTTATATTTTAGTCATCGAATGAAAGTATGATATTCCGTTTCAAGCATTTGTTTCTCAATATTTACATTTAAGTCACCAGTTCATGTATTATAATACGTTATTTCATTTTGTTAATGTTTGACTCTGGTCATGATGTTTGTAAATGTTTCATTTTAGTCATCTCTTTTGTATATTGTTGCTTTTAGGTATAATTTTTATTTACCCTTACGAATTTTTGGTTTGTTTTATTTTGGTCGTGCATGTTGCTTTGGGATTTATTTCTGTTTTAGTACTCATGTTACATGATATTTGTACATTAGCTACGATTTGTTATATTTTTATTATTATACTTCTAAATTTGTTGTTCTTGCTATTTAATCCTTATTTACTAGGTATGATCAAATTCTTTTATTCATATTTTAGTTTATCATGTTTGTATATATAAACTTTAGTCCAAATTTGTAACTTTGTTTTTATTACGAGTTATAATTTCATGTATGTATATATATAAAAATTAAAATAATTGTTGTAAGCCTTATTTGTATGAGATTTTTTTATTCTATGTATTTTATTATGCGCATATTTATTTATATATTTTAATTTATACTTTTTATTAGGGTTCCTTTACATATTTAAATATATATTTATTTTTAGCTATTAATTTATACTCCTCTATTTGTTATCACTCGAATGTTTTTCAAGAATATTTATTTGTAGAATGGGCGTAGAAAGAACCGTTTGATCGTAGCAATGTAATCCGATATGACATTCAAACGAATGGTGAACTTGAATTAAATCGATCTTTGTTTAAATAATGATCATGCAAATTCCAATATTATTTTTTCTAAATAATTTAATATTTAAAAAAAATAGATAATATTCTTTTACAAATAAGAAATATGTGAGATAGCTTTCCCGATGGAGGATTGCAAATCTCGAGATTTCTTTTCAAGTTAAAGAGTTTTCTCTGATAATTAATTCGGAATAAATTACTTATTGTCCAATAAATGGATCATACTTTAATTATCGATGTGAATTCATGATTTCCACCATTTACGATAATATATAAGCGACTAGGTACTAATTTTGGGCGCTGTAGGGGTGCTTATCCTTCCGTACGCGTAACCGACTACCAAATCCCTTAAATTGAATCTTTGATAACGCAGACAAATTTTTTGTCTAAATTAAATTGAATCTTTGATAATGCAGATCAATTCCTATTAAATTTAATTCAAATTAATTCAAAATCTCTAATTTTTCAAATAAAGTCATAATTGTTTTTTAAAATTTTAATTATTTAAAAAAAAATGATTATGGCACTAAAAATTTCAAATTCTTATATAAGTCAAGTATTTTCAATTTGTAATATGTTTCTATCTCCTAAAATTTTATAAGTTCGTCATTAGAATATAAAATCATGCTTCTATCCATGAGGATAATCTACAAGTTGTGATGAAAGAATAGAGTTCTTAGTCATGCAGAGACAGTTCAATAGAATTAAGGAGAGGATCACACGATGAACAACACAAGAAAGTAAATAAAATTCTAATATTACAAAGCACAAAGAGACATCGCAACCGGATCATGAGCACATACAAAATCCCCACAATGAGTAAGTGTTTTGTGAACATATTGCAGAACAATATATCATCACAGGAGAAACAATAATAAAAAGTGAAAACCAGAAAGCATTAACAAAAGGTAGGCAAAGAAATGTTATCTATTTTATATGTGGAGAAATCAATTAGTAGTACCCGGCTGGTGGTCCCATTCCATAAGGCATCACTGGCACAGGTCCAGTTCCGTAGTATCCGGGGTTACTGATTTTGGCCAAATTAGCTTGACCTTGCATCCCATCCTTTGAATATTGCTGCCATACTTGCTGCTCCTGGACAAGCAAATGTTTCTTCTCCATGTCGGCCATTTGTACGTAAGGAGGAGGAACGCTCAAAGATGCGGCAAACGGGTCCTGATTGACGTTCTGACCTGTTCCATCGGGTGCCGAAAGGGCTAAAACTTGTGTAGTGGTCTTCCCCCCCTGGCCTAGCAATGCCACACTACTCGCACTACCCCCACTCAATTGATCAATACTAACATGTTACCTTACCATTCCCTGATCATACATGCCATTCATCAATAATGGATCGAGGCCACCACCTAAAGCCGTCTTCTGCCTGGATAAATTACTAGCTGTCTCAACCGAAGCCAACTCCCAATCTTCCTTCCCTGGCTCAGTACCAGGGTTTTGCCAAGCCGATGTCACTTCGGGACCGTTCGATGGGAAAGCTTCCCAAGATCCATTACCGTTATTAGCCGGGCCATTAAATAAAGCCAAAGCCAGTTTGTTGCCCTGATCATCAGTTGTGACATCATCATCCTTCAAGTTCACTAAATCCTCCTGCAGCTCCGGGGGTTTAATGGGTTCTGGCTCTGGTGGTGGCGGTGGCGGCGGAGTGTAGCTTTCTGGAGCAGGTAGGGCTTTTGTTTCATTCATATCTGGTGCAGGCTCTTCCTCTTTAGGCGGAGGAGGAAGCTCTTTCCTCTCCGGACTCTTTGGCCTCTTAGCTCTCTCTCTCACAAACTCCTCCAGTGTTTCCATCAACTTACCGGTATTCCTTTGCACCTCAGGATACTCTGATGATCTAGCCCAACCCAGGATTTCAAATCAAGGTCCGAAAATATGATTTTGTCCGTGAAACAATGGTTTTACTGTCGTCTGAGTTACCTCTACACTTGCTATAGCGCCCGCGACGACCACAATCATCGTAAATTCGAAAAAACCGAAAACGCAATTTGAAACCCTGACCAAACCCATATCTTTACACCAATTATAAAATGCAATTAACTCGTCGATCTGCTTTGATGCATATGCATCAAATGCCTTCACACAATCTGGGTACTCCATGTCAAAAAATCTATCAAGCAGCCAAAACCTCGCAAATATCCGTATATAACTAAAAACTCTCCTTCACAACAGGATATAAAGCAATCAAGATCATCCTGCTATTCTTTGTCAATCCCCTAGGCCGACACGATAAGAACCGATCTAACAACCTCTGCAAGTGACTCATCTTTCCGAAAATCCTCTCAGTAGTCATCTCCCTCAATGGAGTCATAGTTTTCTTCTCCTCTCTCCCATCTCTCCCTGCTGTTTCACTCATATCGTCGTAAGACCTCGTTCTCCTTGGCATCCCATAATTTCCATATCCATTATCACCTCTAGAATCACCATAATCAAATTCGAATGGCCTCGGTGGTGGTGACCGGAAATCATCTCGTCCACGGTATCTATAATCGTATGCTTCGGTGGCGGTGATCGAAATTATCTCGTCCACCGTATCTATCATCACCACTCCCGTGGCTACTTCCCCCAGAACTGCTACCACCGCCGCTTTTCTTATCGAAAAGCATCAGATCAAGTCTTTGATCCAAATAAATGGCATAAGTTCTTATAAAAGCGGAGTGATCCCAGGAACTCGAGTGAGCCCCATCTCTAAAATCTGACATATTCAACAACCTGGTACCTATCCTGGTAGCATACAAAATCTCTTCTTGAAACAGCGGATCTCCCTCATTAAACAGCCTATGAACAAGCACCAGTGCTTTGAGCGCCACGATCCAGTTGCGAGTCTTCCCTAGCCGTTTCCACACGGCCGAGATGCAGGCGTGGACGTACCCACTCGAGTAAGAGGTCAAATTCAGGATCTCATGTATGAACTTCTCCCCGACAGGGTCGTCGTCGTCGTCGCTCGCTCCTTTCACAATCGCCACCTCGAGGTCCGGCGCCATGTTGCTTGCTACCTTCGCTAGTCCTATGCTGGTTTGGTCTTTAACGGCCCCGATCACTTTTTGAATCGTGCTCGGCATTTTGCCGTGCGGTTTCAAACCAAAAACTTTTCCTCCGTTCTTCCTTTGAAAATTATCAAACGGTAATTTCACTTTAAAATGTTCAACTTCGAAGTAGAAATCTAACAAAATTTAATTAACTAGCTCTAATTAAGGTCAATTAAACCATTAAACGAAGTCCAAGTAAAAACGTGAACAAAGGTTTGGAAAAAATTAAAAAAGAAGATTTGTTCTTTTAGCTTATATCTTCTAGATCTACAGCGTACGGCGGCGAACAGGCGGTGAGTCACGGCGGCGCCGGTTTCCTTTTTTAAAAGATTCTCTCTTTTGTGTAAGAAAAAGAGTGGAGAAAAGGACGGAGGTTGTTGAGGAGAAATAAAAAGCTAGATTCAAATAGTGGATTGGAGGTACGGAGACGTGGAGAAATCTGGACCGTCGGATAGTGGTGGATGCAAGAGATCTGGTGAGATGTAGCTGTTTTAGCGGAGGTGTCGGAAGGCCGTGTAATTGCAGTCCGAAAGACACCATGAAATGTTCTCCCTGTGCGTTGGATTAAAAAACAAATGAATAGACAGACATTGGGTTTTGGTTTCATGCTTTGCGCCTTTGTTAAACTTGTGCAATGACCGACGTTTGATGTGATTTTATATAAATTTTAGAGGAATATTACACCCGATATCACTATATTTAAAATATCAAATTATATATATCATTAAACATTCAATTACTCCGATCAAAATATTAAAATTTTATTTTTATTTTAATTATACTATTAAACCGTTTATTGATAACAATGCGATGATGTTGATGGAATACATATAACTTATATACGTCTCGAGATATGAGCGAAGGATATTACATCAACATTGTAAACATTCGTTGATCATAAATACTTAAAATTTTGTTCCATTTCAAAAAAAATCCTTTTTCAACTTTAAAACTTTTTCATTAATCATGTAAAATCATAAAATCATATTTAATCATTGAAAATATATATGATTTCAGACATCAATTAGACAGTTTGATATTGTTTCATAAACAATTTAAAATTATTTGAACACTGCTTAATTAAGAAACCCTTTGAAAACATAAATATATATAAACTAATCATTCATATATAAAGATATAGCAAAGTTAAACCAAAATAAATGGCTCTGGTTTACTATTACCGACCATTTAAAAACAAATCCGATAAAACAACATAAGGATATAATATACATGCCATTAAAAAATCAAAGATAAGATGGTTTATTGATACTAATATTAGGTTTGATTTTCTGAAATGATACTCAGAGGCTCCTCACTTCACGTTCATTTCTCTATTCTAACCTACGCGTGAAAATCATTGCGCGCTAAGTAAAACTTAGTGAGGCGGTAACATAGCTAAGGTGAGATAAAATATAAATATCGTAAAGTATTATAAAACATAAATCTGTGTAATATAATTAAAATCATTAAAACTTTCCAACCGAGTTATTCAAGTTGTTTTCCTCTTTGAAAACTTGAAAATAGTCATCTCATTTTTTTTTTAAATCATGTAAACCAACATCAAACGTAACAAACATTTTATATTCTTTTCATTCATACATATTTCAAAACTTTTCGTTTCATTTTCATATTCCTCTCTTTTAGATACTTATTATAATTTTTCTCATTTAATTTCATAGCCCAATGTATATGTAAGATAATTCAAGGTACGTGAGTTATACATAATGTGCACACTAGGCACTTCACGGTGTCAATCATCATCATCATAAGATGCACTCCAAGTGCAAATCATATCATGTGCACCAACGGTGCTATACGTAATGTACATGAATGTATTATAACTTAACTTGAACTTTACTCAACTTCCTGGCATGTCAAGTGTACCTACAACCCTCAATGCAACATACAATGGGCTTTCATATCGTATTATATTCATATAATAATTAACATTTTCCATATCAGAATCAATTTCAACTTATCATCAGTTCATACCCGAAATCATTCATAAATAGAACATATATATCATGTAAAATACTTATGGACAATTTATGTTCTAAAAGAAATTCAAATAAATGGGCTTTCATATCGTATATATTCATATAATTAACATTTTCCATATCGAATCAATTTCACTTATCATCAGTTCATACCCGAAATCATTCATAAATAGAACATATATATCATGTAAAATACTTATGGACAATTTATGTTCTAAAAGAAATTCAAATAAATTTTTGAAATCGTTAAAGAAATATTTCATTTCTAAAATAATAGATCATTCTTAAAATTATATTTGAAAATTCATTCGAATATCTTTTCAAAAAAATGCCTTATAAAAATGTATTAGTTAATCCCATACCCAAGAGTCATTCATAAATCTCTATATAAGCATTATGAAAATAATTCATATTTATAATTAAATCATACTTAAAAATTCATTCATTAAAAATAATAATATGAGGTTGACTTATCGCAAGTCTTCCTCAATCAAAATAAATAATTAAACAAATTGTACTCACATTTGCCTCACTACTAAACCTTTATAAGATACTTCTTTACTTGCGTGTTTTCTCCTTTTCTTTTGAGTCATTCAGATCGCTAGATTTATCGTGGTTTGACAACGTAATATAATAATATAAAATATTCAAACTTTATGTTAGTATCGTACTACCATAATCTAAACTTAACAATATGAAAGTCTATAAAAATAAAAATCAATAGTTAATCGATATAAAACTAAATCATAAATACATAATAATTTCACACTTTCCAAAATCCTCATTCGATTCCATAAATATTTATTTTCATAATCACACTTTCAACTTTTAACAATTTCATAATCACGCCATTAATTATGAATTCTTTTAGAATTCATATCAACCTTTCCATTTAATTCATAATGATCCTTCAACATTATGATCTTTTCACATAATTTACTAAAATTTCCAGCACCTTGATAATGTACTCAATTTAATACCTTAATATTGAAAAACTTTTAATTTCATCCTAAACTTTCTTAGACTTTGTGTAATACCCCAAATGGTAGGTCAGTGACTATTTTAAAAGAATTTAAAAATCTGAGGATTTAATTTAATAGATATTAAAGTATAAGGAATGATTTGAGTAAGATCAATTAGTAAGAAATAGATGATTGAAAGGGCATTTTGGTCCTTTGGAATGAAATGAATTTAAAACTCATTTTTTAAAATATAGGGATTTAAGAAAGGGGAAAGTAAAGAAAGAGGTTAAGTTATTTACTTTACTTCTCTTTCTCTTCTTCTCGTGGCTTTGTGCTCTCCTCCACAATCAAAGGCAAACTTCATCTAACTAGTTTTTCCTTTCGATTATGGTTTGTTATTACAACCTTAAGTGATGTGTAAGCTTAAGGAAGGGTTAAAGATGATTAAAACTAAGAAATGAATGTTTTATTTGAGATTGAAGGAAATGGGTTTTTGAATGATAGATTAGAATATGAGTTTTTATTGATGTTTATTAGTATATTTGACTTGCCAAAGAAGTAAATAAAAGATTAGAAGCTCCATGTATAATTAAAAACATGTTAGAAAAAGTGGTATAATTCTTGGTTTGAGATGTTCTTGAATGGTTTTAGATGTTACAAGAAGCTAAATGAAGGAAAGCTAGTTGAGATAAGTAAGGAAGAGTGTAATAGTATTGTCGGAGGTTAAAGGAAGGGAATTTAACCAAATTTGGGTAAAAATCGAGCTGAAAATAGAAAATCTAGGTAAGGGTATCGGTACTGGTAGAACAGTACCGATACTATAGGTT